TGCACTTTGCAATACATACTTTTTGCAATACATTTCCAGTTGTACCCCTTTGTGCGCTCAGCTGACCCAATACAACCCTACGTCCGTACAAATAACGAAGGGGCTCAAATGTTCATGCTTTTCTCGTCCGAAAACTTGGTTTCTCACTAAAGGGCGGCGCTTGGGAGGCGGAGTCACTGGAAAAAAGGAGGAACCACTGGATCTATTCTGCCTTATAGCGCCCCTCCCCTGCACTTTTTTTCCGCGAAAACGGTACAGGGTTGTTCGTCGCGGACCGCACTACCCTCCCCACACCATATTTTCAACTTCGATACCTGATCGCGGACCGTTTCTTTAAGGACCACCAACTGAGGATGCCGAAGACCTTGAGAGTACCTACAACAAAGATCAGCGTTCGTTTGCCGAAAAATCTATGAGACCATCCATGCGACTTACATGAAAGCGCCAGAGAAACTGTTCCAACTCGGATTCGCATTCATCTTCTTGCAAAGAGGGAGAAAAAGAGTACCAGGTGAATTTTGAGCGAAGCAGTTTTCTTGCATATTTGTCGATATATTTTCCATCTGTTTTCGATTAGGTGCCAGTCTTCCGACTTCTCTGGGAAAAAACATTCACGGGCTTCTCCACACGGATCATTGACACAGCATGTCGCGTGTACAAAAGTGCTCAGGATTGGAAAAACAACAATTGTCTACCAATGGTGAAGTATTGTTATCCGAAAGACCTCTACTACACGTGCAACTCTGACGACACGTATGCATTTGATCCGCAGAAGCGGGTTATCGTGGAGTTCGGGACTTCCCCTGCATGTGACACAATGTCTCGTCTGGGCAGAATATGCGATGTGGTCATTTCTTTTGTCGGTGCGGCAGTAGGAGTGACAGGAATTTTCACACCGGCTGGATTTATTGCTGCCCCAATTCTGTTCGGTGTCGGTGGGACTAGTGCTGTCTACGGTGTTTGGCCGTGCAGCACACCGTCTATTTGACAAAAAAACTCATGGAGAGAGCATAATTGATCGCGAAGGCATACTGCTTTGGCTATCAATAGCTGCTGCACCTTTGCATATGTTGAGTGGGTTCGCGTCGGCACGCCTCGCCGCTGGGGCTGCATCGGGCCGAATTTTCTCGCAGAGTGAGCGGATTCTCGCCACAGTGCTCATGCTGACGACAGTCGGCGTTGATGGCTTCTCATTTATTATCAATGTGGCGAATATCATCGACAAGGGGCGCAATGGAAACCTCACGACACTCGACGTATTACAGTTTTCCGTGAGTACGCTGTTCTTCACCAATACGTTGATACAGCCAAAAACAGCTTGGGGAGTGATTAAACAGGCTCAACAGCATAGAATCACAACAATTGCCGAAAACATGACGGATGTAAAAGCCAAGGAAGCATTCCAGTCGTATCTCGAACAAAACAAGGGGGATGGCTCAATCAAGGCTACGTCCAAGATCGTGAGGAACTTGAATCGAATGGAGGATCCAGGCACATT